GATTTGGTGATGGGAAACCCGCGGGGATTACAATTGAGATGGAAAAAAAAATGTGCAAAATGATGTAAAAATAAACTTTTTAATAAAAAAAAAATTAAGAGTATGGGGCCTCCCTGGTGGTGCAGGGATTAAGCCTCAGCACTATACTTAGCCTGCTACAGCACGAGTTTCCATCCGCAGCCAGGGAGCTGACCCACATGGCGCAGCAGATCTCTCCTGTTTCTCCCGTTGCTCCCCTCAGCAGTGTATTTCAGTCAGTCTGCCTGTTCTGCTCCCCACTCTTGTCTCTGGTGAATCCTCTCCCCCCTCCCCGCTGCACCTCTGGCCTATACCCCAGTTCTTGTATATATAAACTAAACAAAATAATGAAATAAATCTTTAAAAAAAATAAAGAATACATCAACAGCTAAATAATTGTCTTTTTTCCAACTCTTCAATGTAATCTAAATCTTACATCTTCAATGAAATACAAGAGACACCAATGAAAAACAAGAGACATAGCCTAGTCCCCACAATAGAAAAAAGACCCCTGTGGAAGAAGAACAGAAAAACATACTCTAAGCAAATATAAATTCATCTGTGGGTATACAGTCATGGGGCTGGACTTCCAAGGGGGTCACGTTTTGCGGCTCCCAGCCCTCATGCCTGCTCTCCTCTGTCCATCTGCTCCAGGTACAGAAGCCACATACTCCCAGGGGCCTGCCTTCAGGCACTAATTCAAACAGGTTTGCCCACCTACAGAAATGTTTTCTAAGATGATTCAGAAAGTTCAGCCCCACTTTGAAGCTACATTCAGCTCAGTGGATCTTTACAACCTAAATATCAAGAGGAGAATCCTATTCGTTTTTTGAATGAAGTTCATTTAATAAAATCTGCTCTCCTGCTGTAGATGACGGAAAGCCTGGCTTTCCTCTGCAATGTGACGCTACTGTTTCTGTGACTGGTACTGGAAGGCCGTCATGTACCATCCAGGAAGGTGAGTGGGCAGGAACTGATACTCTTTCACAGGAGAGAGCCCACAGAGGTTGAGGGGGACAGAAACAGGAGCAGAAGTGTGGTCTGACATCAAGGTCAGGTGGTGGCTCTGCCTGTATACAGCAGGTCCCACCTGCACATCAACTCTGGGAAAACTGCAGGCATTCTCCTGGCTTCTTCTTTATGTGCTGAAGTCACATGAGGACTCTCAAAAAAAAGTGAAAGCACACAAAGTGTGCTTCAGGGTCACCACAGGCCCTGCTGACATGGGCTTTCCCAGCTCTACCGAGGTGGCCCTGAGGTAATGTACTTGCAAGAACAGACAAGAAGCCTCATTCACACCCTCCTCCTCATGAGAGCTGACACATGGAAAGAAGGCAGCAGGCGCTTCTTCACTAAGTGCTGGGACATATGACCCAGAAGCTTCTGGTCACCCCTGTGCTTCCTGTTTATATTAAATGGCCCAAAGTCCAGTGTTTTTCCATACCAGGAACCCAAAAACTACAGGCTTGTGGCCAAAGAACCACGGGGTTTCCTCTTTCTTCAGGCATGATTTGGAACAGGTCTCTGTGGAGACCCTAAAACTCAAGAAGACTGAGAGCTGACAGAACTGTGCCTCGGGACACACCTGGCCACACCAGCCTGCATTCATGCCACGAGGGACGATGGAGTCATGAAACCACAGGGCCTTAATTTCTTTGAACCACGCTTTGTTCAAGTGCTGGTGGGTCTGCTCCAAAACGCATCCTGGGAGCTATTATGTGACCTCCTAAGAATACAGGCACCAACGACTAGCTCCAACATCACACATCCTCAGATATTTCTCTTGAAAAGACAAAGCCATTTTTAATTTTTGGGTAAAATTTTCAGGCCCCAAATCAATAAGCACAAAGACTCATGTTCTTGGGCCACCCTGATGGTACAGGGGTTAAAGTCTCAGTACTATCAAACTATTGCCAGTCACTGCCTCATGAGTGTGATCCCTGGCCAGGGAGGTGACCCACATGGCGCAACAGACCTCTCCTGTCTCCCCATTGCTCCCTTCAGCAGTGTGTTTCAGTCCATCTGCCTGTTCTGCTCCCCACTCTGTCTCTGGTGAATCCTCTCCCCGCCCCCCACCTCTGGCCTGTACCCCAGTTCTTGTATGCATCAATAAA